AACTGAGCTACAGAGACACAGTTGTCAAGCTCTAACCAACTGAGCTACAGAGAGACAGTTGTCAAGCTCTAACCAACTGAGCTACAGAGAGACAGTTGTCAAGCTCTAACCAACTGAGCTACAGAGAGACAGTTGTCGAGCTCTAACCAACTGAGCTACAGAGACACAGTTGTCGAGCTCTAACCAACTGGGCTACAGAGAGACAGTTGTCGAGCTCTAACCAACTGAGCTACAGAGAGACAGCTGTCGAGCTCTAACCAACTGAGCTACAGAGAGACAGTTGTCGAGCTCCAACCAACTGAGCTACAGAGAGACAGTTGTCGAGCTCTAACCAACTGAGCTACAGAGAGACAGTTGTCGAGCTCTAACCAACTGAGCTACAGAGAGACAGCTGTCAAGCTCTAACCAACTGAGCTACAGAGAGACAGTTGTCGAGCTCTAACCAACTGAGCTACAGAGAGACAGTTGTCGAGCTCTAACCAACTGAGCTACAGAGAGACAGTTGTCGAGCTCTAACCAACTGAGCTACAGAGTCCAGTTGTCGAGCTCTAACCACAAGTTCATATTAGAATGTTAGGGTTTGTAATCCAAGTGAGAATATATACATTTTAAGACCTAACCAGGAATGACTACGAAAAATGCAGCACAAGGTCCTCTGGTAGGAATCGAACCTACGGCCCTGCGATTCCGGAGCAGCGCTCTAACCAACTGAGCTACAGAGGCCAGCTGTTGAGCTGTAACCGTAAGTTCATGTATATATAGGTAATCGGGTGTGCGGGTTGTGATAAGGTGGACTTGAATAACTTAGTTCTGCACTTCACTTGGTGGAATTAATATTAGGATGTTAGGGTTCATGTATACCTACTAAGCCACAGCCCCCCCCCCTGCTTCGTACGCTTATGCCATTGCGGTCTCGTTACCTACCCAACAACACACGATCAGGATATGAGCTGTCTGGTGTGGAAGCATGGATGAATTCCTTCAGAACGTTTTGTTCCTTTTCAGAAGATATTTTCACAAGATCATAGCCCAAATTACGGCAGTAATTCTGCGCAGCCGTATAATCCATTTCCTCCGCATTATAAATATAACACTGTCCTTTAAAACACGATTTTCCTGAAAAAAGAAAATCAGTGAATACATACGTGAATAAAATCATCAGTATATTATTAGTGGATAGATAAATATTTCTGAGTTCCTCAACTGAGCATACGATGGCTCAGGTAGTCTTCTGGTGCTCCAGGTTCAAATTTAACCTGCTGTTTTAGATTATGTATTTCTGCAAGTCTGTTTATTTCAAAACTTCAGAGAAGTAAATTCCAATGGATCTAGACAAGATCTCTGAAGAAACATTTCCAAATTTATAGACAAGTTGTCAGGAAGTTTGCTTTGAATTTTAGGTTAACCTATGGTTAAACTAGCCCAGCTTTGACTTTCCCAATGAAAATGAGGTCGGACAAATTATAAACGTCAGTTGGGCAAAAAGATGGGGAAATAAATTTAAAAACAAGAAATATCCAATGTAATAGTGAAAAAGGCAACTATATATTCCGAAAACATTTCCAAACGCCCGAACAATTTAGAACTGATAGAACTATCCAACATGAATAAAGTTACTACATGTGTGCTACACTTGCAGTCATCAATTACCTCTTTTGCAGAGAACAGTTCTTGGTTCACTACAATTTTTTATCTCCCAGCTTCCATCCTTTCGTAAAAGTGGACAGCCAGCAGTGGAGTAAGATGCTCCAAAGTTTTCGAATAAAATTTTGCTTCCGTCCGTCCATATTGTAGCGTTACGCATCCCTGAAAGATTTACGTGATTAAATACCCTAGTTATTCTAAGGGGGCGTTTATAAGAGAGATGCGTGTATTAGAGAAAGGCGTAAAAATTCATATAAATACAAAATCTGGACACAATTTACACAAATCACAAAGTGCAGGAAAATGTATCGAGTTATTAAATATAAAAAAGCTAATATAAAGGTTAAACGGGGGCGTTTATTAGGGAGAGACGTTAATTAGGGAGAGGCGTTAATTAGAGAGAGAGGCGTTAATTAGAGAGAGGCGTTAATTAGAGAGAGAGGCGTTAATTAGAGAGAGGCGTTTATTAGGGAGAGACGTTAATTAGAGAGAGGCGTTAATTAGAGAGAGGCGTTAATTAGAGAGAGGCGTTTATTAGGGAGAGACGTTAATTAGAGAGAGTCGTTAATTAGAGAGAGGCGTTAATTAGAGAGAGGCGTTAATTAGAGAGAGGCGTTAATTAGAAAGAGACGTTAATTAGAGAGAGGTGTTAATTAGAGAGAGGCGTTTCTTACAAACGTCTGTAAGTCGAAAGGGCGTTTTTTGGAGTGGGGCGTTTTTTGGAGTGGGGCGTTTCTAAGATATTCGGCGTTTATTAGAATAAATACGGTAAACCCAAAACCAACTTTGTTCTTAAGGCCCGTTTACACTCGCAATTTTTACTGCCATCTTAGATGCGACTTTCTTCTTCTGATGGATGTGAACGAGTAGATGAGTTACGAATGATCTGAGTTTATGTACCTTGAACCAGTGAACTGTAATAACACTGGAACGCTAACTGCAGATAAACATGCCCATACTTGCCTGAAGCCAAAATGGCGCTTCTCGCGAGCACGGCCAGCAATAAATTAACTTTCAAAAGGACTGGGGAGAGTTTCGAGGAGCGGGAAATTCAGTCAAAAGTTTGTTTTTGAGCGAAAATCAGCAAGAAAAAGCACTTTTTTATCAAAAGGCTTCAACTTAAAAGATTCAAACCTGGTTTCCTGGATAGTCCTAAGTATTTTACATCCACTAACAG